AACTGGGGGATGAGCAAGATGCCAGGGTCAGCCACCTATCCCTGCCAAAAAGGACTGTGAGATTTTTGATGCCATGAACTGATCAGGATCACAGAAGACCCAAGAGAGGGGCAAGTTGCAGATTCATTGTAACGTGGGCCATTGGGGGAAGAATGTTTTCAAAAAGCATACGGCGGCAGTTCGCTTCACCGCAGATATTTAACTTGGAATTCTGAAAAGCCTTCCCGATTTCTCTCTCGTGCTGGGTTTAATCAAGATGAGTTATCCCGTTACCTTAAAATAAAAACATATCCGCTGGGCTGCAGCTGCAACATGACTTGCAGCCGCAACATACAGCAGAGAGCGTGATTTGAAATGGCAGTCAAGGAACATGGTTTATTTCCGCCCCCCCCCCCCTCCAAATGAAACCAGGCCACATTCAGCCAATGGTGGCTTGCACAGCAGTTATGCTACAGAAGCTATGGAAACATTACTACTGAGATCCAACACCCCTGTTAACGCTTTCTGTGCCTGTCAGTGAACAGCCAGCCTTCACGTGACAGCCTGGGAGGAGAACAGCTCCAGCCATGTATAAAGGTGGTTTGTTTCAAGGATTGCTTGCCTTTCTCTCGCTCTTCTTTGGTGAAGGAGGCAGAGATGGAAATAGTGGATTTTAATTACACCTCTACCGCGATAGAACGCTGTCCTCGGGAGTCAAAAAATCTTACCGCATTATAAGTGAAACTGAGTTATATTGAACTTGCTTTGATCCACCGGAGTGCGCAGCCCCGCCCGCCTCCCGGAGCACTGCTTTACCGCCTTATATCCGAATTCGTGTTATATCAGGTCGCGTTATATGGAGGTAGCAGTGTATTTTTTATATACAGTCGATCACAACAATGCTGCTGTCGAATAGAGGACAATTCATAGCTACATTGAAGATCAGCACAACATCGAGATCTGTTGTCCCATTGACGTTCTGGGAGATTTACCTATGGCCTGTCCATGCAATAAGCACCAATGGAAGTTGCACACTTGCTTCAAAAGGAGGAGATGGCCTCACACTTTTCAGCAGCGTGTTACTCCTGGTATAAAGGATTACCTCCTCGCCCCACTATGTGAGCAATCTCAGAATCTCTCCCCAAAGAGATCATTTTTATTTTAAGCTGATGTTATCCTAATCTAAGAATCACACCAAAGCAGCACAAAAACTTCCCATTTTACGAAGGGAAACTGGCAGAGAGAGGGGAAGTTACTTGCCTGAGAAAGTTATTGGCAGAGCTGGGAACAGAAATCTTGACTTTCAGTCTTTAGTTCTGAGCCTTAGGCCATGTCTGCGCTACAGGACGCTGCAGCTGGATCACTGTAGCAGGGTAGCTTAGACTACAGCAACGGAAGGGGGGTTTCCATCGAAGCAGGTAATCTACCTCTATAAGACATAGTAGCTAAGCCAACGGGAAAATCCTTCCATCGACCCAGCCTCATCTACACCGGGGCTTAGGTCAACCTAACCACGGTGCTCAGGGCATGATACCCTTTACAGCCCTGAGCGAAGCAGCTAGGTCGACCTCAGTATTGGGTGTAGACCAGGCCCAAGTCACTGGTTTGAGCTATCTCACCCTATCTAGAGATAAACAGGTCCATGGACTTCTTCTGGATAACTCAGAGATCTGCAAGCAAGTCCTAATGTAGCCCTTTACAAACAGTAAACCATCACCCTACGAGACCAAGGTTTGCCACATTTTACAGATGGAGAAACTGAGGCATGAAGAAAGGCAGTGACTTGCCCAAAGGCCACAAAGGGAATCAGTGTCAGAGAGTCATTAGAACTAAGGAGTTCTCCTCCCAGTTTCATGCTCCTTAAGGAAAGTTCGCCTCAACCAGAGATTGCAAAACACAGGCTGATTCATGATGACTGGCCTTCGGAAGAGCGCAAGAGTCTTCCTCCAGAAACATGACATGACAAGGCACGTCAGGGCCTTAGTGGCTGCCTGGGACTCTGACGGGAGATCCCTTGCTTGAGAACTTGAGGAGGTGACTGAAAGAGCGGGGTGGCCCCTAACTCAAGCAGGTTCCCATCGGTTAGGTGTGTGACTGGAACAGGGAGAGATAAAGAGGTTGTCATCCCGTAGTGGAGAGGTTGAAAAGGTGAAACGATTCATTGGTTTGGCAGGTACAAGTCCTGAACATTTTATAAAGTCTGGGTAATAATATCTCACATTTCTAGAGTCTGTATCATCCTCAAGAATACCTGAAATGCAGCCACCTGCGAGGTGGAAGACAGAAAATGTTCAAGAGCACAACACAGTGCCCACAAACAGAGAGGGAGAGGACAGGTTCCCAGCACAATGCAACCCTGATCCCAATTAGGATTCTGGGTGCTACTAATTATAATAATAAAAGCCAGGTCAAGCCATTAGCCTTACAAAGAATCCAGAAGCTCTAATGCCCAGGCAGAGCAAAACTGAAGACTGATTTAGAAATAAAGGGGCCTGGGTAGGACATATACATCAAGGCAAAAGGAAAAAAAAGAAGCCAATGCGAAGATGTTTACACAGTGAACAATCGAACAACAACGTGACACGTAAATGTATGGACATACTAGGCCTGGAGTTCTAGTTCCAATACCAAAAAAATGCACTAATGGCATCAGGAAATCCTGAATCCCAGTTACGGAAGAGAATTGGTCGCGAGCAATTTAGAGCAGTGTTTCTTTACAACAAAGGACAGTTGAAACATGGGAGGGAAAACTGCACAAGTCAGCAACAGAGGCAAGTAGTATAAAGGGGAGCCGAACATGATTTGGGAGGGGGAGAGAGAAGAGAAAACACCAGAATGCAGGGCTACTAGCTACACTTGAGGGGACATTGGATGGGTTTGGAAGCAGAGAGCTACATGATCGATTTGCATTTCTGATGGACAAGCCTAAGTCTCAACAGGACTATATGCAGTTGCAGAGGCGTGAGCTACCGGTGACGCAAGCTAGAGAAATCTTCGGGATCATCATTCACGTCATGTATGAATGATTTTTAAAGAAAAAAAAAATCCTTGAGATCCCCCTCACCTCCCTTCACGGTGCAGAGGGGAAGAATAATAGCACAGCATTACCTGGTTTACTTAAATGTCAGAGGGATGCTGAATCAGTCTGGATAACTGAAGGGTGCCCCCCATCTACGAAATTCCCAGGAATTGGAGGACATCCCCCTGTTTCAGGGTCCGGATCATTGAGATTTTGCTGCAGCACCCTGCTCTTCGTTAGCTTCTTTCTTCTGAGAATCTTAAGGCGCATCACAAACTTTAAGAACCTCACAATCTTCCTATACCTGCACTCTCAGAAGGTAGGTAGGTATTATCCTAATTTTACAGGTGGGGAAACTTAGGTACGGAGGAGGCGGGGGGAGGGTGGGGCGCACCCCTTTAGCAAAGAATCTCCAGACATTCCAATATATCAGGCAAAAAGGGTATTACATGCCTGGTCTGATCTGGTCAAGCTACATTGTCTGTTCCTCTCCTCAAATATGCTCCCCAACACCACCTCCCAAGACAGGAGGTCACCGAGATACGATCTGTGACATCATTAGAACATCAGCACAAGGACACCCTTTGACTCTAACCATTTTCGATCTAAATGGAGAGACCACAGACTGGACTTGTCCAGACCCCTCCACCCTATCGCAGAACCGCTGGTGTTAGCTGTGACACGGCCCCCCTACTACATCGCATACATCTTCAACCTCAAAGAGATGCGGGACTATTTTACTGAGATACACACAGCTAGAGAGGGTACTCAAAAGGAGAACCATTTTCCTAGGGCACCAGGGAGAAGCTCCCTTGCCTGGGGCCCTACTGATCCTCTGTCCGGGGAATTGAAATTTGCCCTTCTCACTGGGAGAATTAGAAGTCCTCCCTCCACGCAGGGGACTGGACTAGATGACCTCTCGACGTCCCTTCCAGTCCTACGATTCTACGCCACTGGGTACCTGCCTCTCTCCCCCAGTGGTTCTCTCTCAAGAGCAGGGAGAGTGGGTGCCCTTGCTTTCTAGAAGACCTGGGGCCACTGTAAAGGGTGAACTGGGGTTTACCTCCACTCTCAGTGGGGCTTAACCTTCCTTGTGTTCCTAAAGGGAACCCCCCTCTCTCCACGGGGATGGTTGGGATTAGCCCCCGCCCACCACACACACCCCTACCTTAGTGGCTCCTCCCATCAGGGAAGCTTGAGGTTTAACCTCTCAGCCTCTCCAACACTAAAGGGGGGGGGGGGGAAAGAAGGAGGTTTTAGCCCCTTGTGCCTTCATCTCTTTGAAGGACAATCTGGGGCTGAACACCTCCCTTTCCAGTTCTATGCTGTGGAGATTAGCGGCTCAACTGGAGGATCTCACTCCCCCCCCCACCGACCCCCCAAGAGATGTGCTGGAGGTTAACCCCACCTTCCTCTTGCCCCCATCCCCCACCACATCAGGCGGAAGAGGGAAGAAGGAGCCTATCCCTTAAGCTGGGCTCAGGCCTGCCCCCCCCTTTCAGGGAATATGTTGGGGTTTAACCCCCCTTCCCTTAGGGAAGGGGGATGTTGGGGTTTAACCCCCAAGGACCATTGAGGTTTAGCCCATACTTGCCCTCCTCCTCGGGAAAAAGCAGATTTGGGGGGTTTAAACCTCACCCCCGGGCCCCCTTTCTCCCTGGGTGAAATGTTGGGGTTTAACCCCCCCTTTCTCACATGGGGGGGCTGGGGTTTCAACCCCTCCTGCCTGGGCCCCCCTCTATCCCCGAGGACAAGGATTGAATGTTAAACTCCAGCAGCTTCCCCAGCGAGAGGGGGTTAGACACCCCCCCCCCCATCTCGGGGGGAGGAGAATTGGGGTTTAACCCCCCTTCCCGCCAGCCCCCCACGGGGGAGGGGGCCGGGGTTTAACTCCCCCCCCCGTTCATGGGGGGGCTGCTGGGTCCCCCCCCGCCCGGGCCCCTCCCTCGGGGGATCTGGGGGGGTCACGCCCCCCGCCCGGGGGCCTGGCCCCGCCCCTTACCGGCAGCTTGGGGCTGACCTCCCCCTTGCAGCTGTGGCAGAAGAACCGATGCTGGGACACGGCGGCCGCTGCCGAGGCCTCCGCCATCTTCTCTTTCCCCCTCCCGCGGTTCCCCCTGCCGTCAGTCCTCCGCGGGGGAACGCCGAGACTAGGGCCCCGCGCGGATAGAGCGGCAAGCAGGCCCCTCTAGCCGCCCACTTCCGCCTACTCTCTTGTGCTCCGCCGGGAGGGGGCCGGGCGACTCAGTCCTCCACCAAGGCTAGCGAGACGAGAGGACTGCAAGGCAGAGCGGCCCCCTCGTTTCTTCCGTGTCCCAAGTCCTCCCCTTGGCCAGAGAGTCTCGGACGAGGGTGAGGATAGAGCGTCGCTTCGTCAATGCCACCGAGGCCCTGCGCTTTAGCGCGCCAGTCTTACCACCGAGACTAGCAGGGGTGCGGGTAGAGCGGCCCCGTTATCGCCGTGCGCTCTAGCGGACAAAGGATAGAGTCTCTATAGCCCTGACTAGCGGGTCGCCCCATTGCCCCGGCTACAGCCGCCGGGGGGGGAATCGGAGCCATCGGAAGTGACCGGAAGTAATCAGCGGCGAGCCGGAAGTTGAAGGGGACGGGGTTGCTATGGTTGCTGCATGGGCCTAAGAGACCCCCCTCCCCCCTGACAAGCCCGGCGGAGGACCCAGGTGAGTGAGGGCCCCCAAGGCAGCCAGCTGGGTGGGGGGAGTGTCTCCCTGGCCAGGGGGCATCGCACTGTGGAGGCCGTCCCAGCTGGACGGGAACAGAACCCAGGAGTCCTGGCCCCCCAGTCCCACGCTGTGACCCCTCGGCCACTCTCCCTTCCCCGAGCTTGGAACGGAACCCAGGAGTCCTGGCCCCCAGTCCCACGCTGTGACCCCTCAGCCACTCTCCCTTCCCCGAGCTTGGAACAGAACCCAGGAGTCCTGGCCCCCCAGTCCCATGCTGTGATCCCTCGGCCACTCTCCCTTCCCCGAGCTGGGAATGGAACCCAGGAGTCCTGCTCCCAGTACTACCCTATTGATCACCTATCCACTCTACCTTCCCACGCTAAGATCATTATAGTTCCCATAGCTGGGAACCGGAGTCCTGGCTCCCAGTTCAGTGCTATGATTACTCATCCACGCCACTGTCCAAGAGCTAGAAGTAGAACTCAGGCATCCTGACTCCGAGGCTGCACTCTGCTCTAACCATTTGGCCACACAGCCCTCCCTCATATAACATTTCCTTCTGACACCAAGCCTCTCTCACTCTGGGTTCCGTTGGCTGATCAGTCACCTGGATGTCGCCGTTGGCTCAGGGTGTATCACTCCTGTCACAGTCAATTAGATAGTGTAGACCCAGCACGTATGTGAAGGTCGTTTGGAGGAGGCCTCCCCCGAGCTGAAAAAGACTATTTGCTGAACTATCTCCTCCTGCCTTTCAGTCCTTTGTTTCCGTAGAAAATTTCTTATCAACATTTCTGTTCCATTAGGCCCCCCCCCATTATGCATCTCTCCTGAAGCATCTAGTAAGGATTCTTTAGCTTCTACAGTGCTGCCCACATGACAGACATTGTTATGGCTCTTAATTTTGAAAGGAATGTAGTGCCCGACTGGCAGCCCTCGAGGTGGATCTGCAGAGCAGATACAGTGGTAGGAAAGGACAAGATAACTTTCCCCACAGCCCACGCTGCCCTGGAGGGATCATCGCAGGGGATACTATGTATTTAGTCTCCATGGCTCATTCAGTTCTTGGCGGGCGTGCCTGCCTGCCCAGATTGCCATCACAGCCAGCCCCCTTGTTGGCAGTTTTGATATAGGCTTAGCCTCAAACCCACCAGATTCATTTCAGGCATGAATTGGTAACAGCTTTTAGTCTCCACTGATCTAGGCCAATTCAAACAAGTGACTCGAGAGGTGAAAATCGTTGCATCCAATCAGCAAATCTCCTGCGTTTGCCTGTCTCACCTGATAAGAACTTTAATAACATAAATGCTTTTTCCCATATCCTTCTAGTATTTTAAGTTGCCGGCAAGATGACTCAGGCAGAAATTAAACTCTGTTCCCTCCTGCTGCAAGAACATTTTGGCGAGATCGTGGAAAAGATAGGGACTCATCTTATCAAGACAGGCAGCCAGCCGCTGAGAGTGATTGCCAATGACACAGGGATGTCGCTAGATCAGGTATGTCTGGAATACTCGAAGAGTTAGTCTCCTTTGGATCACAGAGCTGACTGAACTATTATTCGCTCATTACAACTTGTCAGTCACCATTTCTGGTGCTTTTGAAGGATTCTGTTATTCTAAATGTGTTTGCAAAAGATAAATCAGAATTTGAACATGTCTCCTTAAAACCAAATCAGTTTTTTTAATAGTACAGATTGCAATCCATGGGAGTTTTGCCACTGGCTTTAACAGAAAAGGTTCTGAGCTCTTACCTCTCCACAGAAGGGCAAAGGGAAGGAGGGTGGTCTAATTTAGTTTTATAGAGGGTGGAGAGGACAAGAGATGGGGTTCTCTGAAGTTAGTGCAGCATCTGGAGAATAAGGAGGTGAGACTTACTGGCCCAAAGGGTACGTCTTCACTACCCGCTGGATCAGCGGGTAGCAATCAATCTATCAGGGATCGATTTATCGCGTCTCGTCTACACGCGATAAATCGATCCCCGAACGCGCTCCCCGTCGACTCCGGAACTCCACCAGAGTGAGAGACGGAAGCGGAGTCGACAGGGGAGCCGCAGCCATCGATCCCGTGCCGTGAGGACAGGAGGTAAATCGATCTAAGATACGTCGACTTCAGCTACGCTATTCACGTAGCTGAAGTTGCGTATCTTAAATCGATCCCCCCTCCCTTTCCCCCCCCAGTGTAGACCAGCCCAAAGTCACACAGTGAGTCAGGACTACAGTCGAGATTCTCAGGCCCTGCCTCAAGTAGGAGGAGATCTTGTAGATTTTTCCATCTCTTAGTTCTATGGTAACCTGAGGCCCCTGGGGAATTTCAAACATCACCCTTCCCTCTCCCACAATAAAGATGATCTGATGAATGGCTCAGTAGCTTTATCTTAGGTTGTTAATGATCAGTGCTAATTGAGGAACCATTCCTGAGGCTATGGATGGAGATAAAGCACCTAAGCGGAGGGGCATTCCCTTCCTGATCCCTGAGTTCATCAGCCCTGAAGCATGATGGTTGTTTCCCCTCATATAAACTATGCTAAGTTTCCAAGTACGTGCTCATTCCTTTCTCTGGCATGTGCAGGTGAAGAAAGCTCTCTGTGTCCTCATTCAACACAACCTGGTGACCTACCAGCTGCAGAAGCGAGGCTTTGTGGAGTACGAAGCTCCGTGCAGTCGGGTGCTGAGAATCCTCCGGTATCCACGTTACATCTACACTGCCAAGACCCTCTACAGCGACATGGGCGAGCTGATCGTGGAGGAGCTGCTGCTGAATGGCAAAATGACCATGAGTGCTGTGGTGCGGAAGGTTGCGAACAGGCTGACGGAAACGATGGAGGGTGAGGCAAAGCAGTGTGGAGACGGCTGAGAAATAGAGCAGAAACCTTTTGCTGCAGCATCTTCTCATCTGCCTGGCAAGGTTTGGGGCGGCTGGGCCGAGATTTCATGCTACCGGAGTGGCTGGGTTCTGTACGCAGTGAAAGGGGATTGGATGGCTCCCAGGATCTGTGCAGAAGAAGAGGGCTCTGGGCACAGAGCCTGATCCAAAGGCCATTGAAGTAAATGGGAATCGTTCCATTGACTTCAGTGGGCTTTAGGTCAGGTCCATATGGAGCTCCTCTAGGGGCTGCACAGAGCACTGACACTCCCAAGCACCTCCAGGAGAGAGGTCAGTATCCTCATCCACATTGTATGGATGGGGAAACTGAGGCCCAGGGAGAGGAGGGGACCGCCCAAGATCAAACAGTGAGTCACTATCAGAGCTGGGAACAGAACTGGCCCCTGTGCTTGGACCGTTTGACTATGATTTATTTCGATGTCTCTTTGACCCTATCTTTCTATCAGTAGACAAGTGTAGAGTCAGCATGGTAGGAAACCTGGGAATCCATTCTCTGCTCTACCACTGGCTCACTGTATGACCTGGAGGGAGTCACTGCCCCTCATTGTGCCTCAGTTTCCCCATCTGTAAAATGGGAGTAACAACACTTACCCAAATGACAAATGCTATGTAGATTCCAAAGAGTGTTAGTTCTGGTTTCCTGCATATTTCTCATCTCAAGGCTCAATTTTACACACATGGACTAAAATGGAAAACACATGGATTAGTCATTGAATCTGTTTTTCCCCTTACCTCTGTGTTTGTCCCTCCAACAGACCTAAGTTTGCTCTGCTCATTTAACTATTCCCATTGATTCGTAGCCTACAAAGAGGTGGAAATCTTCATGTTTCCACTGCACCTTTCTCTTAAGAGAAATGTGGGAGGCCTTAAATATCTGGGAAGAAAGATATTCCCAGATTCCCTCAAGGGGGGGATAGCTCAGTGGTTTGAGCATTGGCCTGCTAAACCGAGGGTTGTGAGTTCAATCCTTGAGGGGGCCATTTAGGGATCGGGGGCAAAAATCTGTCTGTGGATTGGTCTAGATGAGGTTGGACTAGATGACCTCCTGAGGTCCCTTCCAACCCTGATATTCTATGAAAGGGAAAAACCTCAACTGGCCAACAAGAGTCATAGTTGTTCACATATTAGCGGATCCACTTGATTAAAAGACACCAATGCTATATAATCCTCTGGGGTACAAGCTGTGTCCTCAACAAACGTTGAGTTAAACGGGGAGAGCAGCGTGAGACAGTATGGTCCAGTGACTACAGCACTCCACGGAGAGTCAGGTTTTATTCCTGATTCTGCCATTGACCTGCTGGGTGACCTTGGGCAAATCAGTGCCCCACTCCGTGCCTCAGTTTCCTTTCCTGCCTTTTATCTGTCTTGTCTATTTAGATTGTAAGCTCCTCGGGGCAGAGTTTCTCACTACATACAGTGCCTAGTGCAACGGGGCCCTGATCTCAGGTGCTGCTGGAATATAAATGACGATAATGAGAGAAGTTAAGAGGCATCAGAGACAAACTGCATTATCTGGTGAGATTTGAAATGAGATGGAGATTCAGGAATTTGCTAAGAGCTGCCAGAAAGACTCTCCTGTGGACGGTGCCAAAGAGAGGGGCTGAGAGAGGCCCCTGCTAGAGGCGGGGAGTGGAGCAAAAATATACAGGAAACGTTTCAGGTATAGGAGAAGGTTCTTGCACCAGCAGTTGT